GTCTGTTGGGGCAGGAATTGGGGCAGGAATTGGGGTCAGGAATGCACCCGATCTGCTCATCTCTCTCTTGGAAGCTGAGCAGGTATAAAGTAAACACGAGCCTCGATGGATACTGCTCTTGGTGAGTGAGCCACCACCGTGTGTTTTAAAACTTTGTCCGGCGTGCGTTATCCGCGCTCCCCGCCTCAACTATGGTGGGCCGGGGTAGATGTTGACTCCCTCGCCCGGTATGCAGGAGGTCGTGGGTTCAATCCCGAGCCTGATGCCTGCTGCATCTTTGGAGTTTGCGTATCTCTCTCATCACCATCATGACGGTGGCTAGGAGATGTTAACTAACTCACCTGGTATACAGGAGGTCGTGGGTGCCATCCCGACCCTGATGCCTGCTGTATATCTGGAGTTTGCGTATCTCTCTCATCACCATCATCACGGTGGCTAGGAGATGTTAACTCCCTCGCCTGGTGTGCAGGAGGTCGTGGGTTCGATCCGGACCCTGACGACGCCTGCTGCTGCTGTACATTTGCGGTGTCTCTCTATAAATTTCCACATGATAAGCCACTCCGTTGAGCTGTCAATTGCGGCCAAGTCGCTTCTGAAAAAGAGCTAAAAAGCTCATCGAGTATGGGTCTCTACACCAGAGGTCGCAAACGGGTTTTGATTCCTTACCCGTACCCGTACCCGGCCGCACCAGGGTCGCAAACGGGTACCCGTACCCGTAACCCGGCCGTACCCGTACCCTACCCTACCCATACCCGGCCGGGTACGGGTATCGGGTACCCGATTGCGACCTCTGGGATGAAGCCATGTTGCAGGCGCGGGTGGGTTGATTCTAGGAACTTGAATTGTGAGAAGAGACAAGACGTTGGGAAATGAGTGACAAACAGTTACTCACCATCTTCTTGGTTCGTTCGGTAAAGTCACGTGACTTTACCGAAAGAACCAAGAAGATAGATAAATCCCTGCAGTCACGAAAGCTTTAAATCGAAAAGTTACTCACCAGTGACTCACGGCCTACCCGTACCCGGCCGCACCAGGGTCGCAAACGGCTACCCGTACCCGTACCCGGCTGGGTACGGGTAGCCGGGTAGGGTACGGGTATCGGGTACCCGGTTGCGACCTATGGGATGAAGCCACGTTGCAGGCGCGGGTGGGTTGATTCTAGGAACTTGAATTGTGAGAAGAGACAAGACGTTGGGAAATGAGTGACAAACGGTGACTCACCAGTGACTCACGGCCTACCCGTACCCGGCCGCACCAGGGTCGCAAACGGGTACCCGTACCCGTACCCGGCCGGGCACGGGTAGCCGGGTAAGGTACGGGTATCGGGTACCCGGTTGCGACCTCTGACACGCCCACACGCGCGTGTACCTACACAAAGGTCGGGTGGCCAGGGGTGGGGGGTGGGGGTGGTGTCGGGGGGGGAGGGGGGGAGACTGCCACCGATTCGACGGACACGAATGGACGGGGGGGTGAGTGGGGGTGGCTGAGGATGGGCGGCGGGTGAGGGCCGTGAGCGCGCAAGCGGTGAAGCGGTCGGTTCCTCCGTGTGGCACGGGCACCGCACTTACTGGCACCAGCTTCCAGTACCACTTGGAGGGAGACTGCCCGAGCAAAAGCCGAGGTCGGCGGGGGAGAAGAGAAAAGCGTTAGGGGGGGGGGGGGGGGGGGCGTGAAACACGCACGCAGAGAGTGGAGCGGGTGGTGGCGAGGCGCGGCAAAGATGTGGAGTGTGTACTGTGTGTGTGGTGTGTGTGTGGTGTGTGTGTGTGTAGTGTGTGGTGTGTGTGTAGTGTGTGGTGTGTGTACTGTGTGTGTGTTGTGTGTGTGTGGTATGTGTGGTGTGTGTGTGTGGTGTGTGTAGTGTGTGTGGGGTGTGTGTGGTGTGTGTGTGGTGTGTGTGTACTGTGTGTGTAGTGTGTGTACTGTGTGTGTGTGGTGTGTGTGGTGTGTGTGTGGTGTGTGTGTGGTGTGTGTGTGGTGTGTGTGTGGTGTGTGTGTGTACTGTGTGTGGTGTGTGTGTGGTGTGTGTGTACTGTATGTGTGGTGTGTGTGTGGGGTGTGTGTGGTGTGTGTGTGGGGTGTGTGTGGTGTGTGTGTGGTGTGTGTGTACTGTGTGTGTAGTGTGTGTGTGTGGTGTGTGTGGTGTGTGTGTGGGGTGTGTGTGGTGTGTGTGGTGTGTGTGTGGGGTGTGTGTGGTGTGTGTGTGTGGTGTGTGTGGTGTGTGTGTGGGGTGTGTGTGGTGTGTGTGTGGTGTGTGTGTGGTGTGTGTGTGTGGTGTGTGTGTAGTGTGTGTTGTGTGGTGTGTGTGTTGTGTGGTGTGTGTGTGGTGTGTACTGTGTGTGTAGTGTGTGTACTGTGTGTGTGGTGTGTGTGTGGTGTGTGTGGTGTGTGTGGTGTGTGTGTGGTGTGTGTGTGGTGTGTGTGTGGTGTGTGTGTACTGTGTGTGTACTGTGTGTGTAGTGTGTGTGTACTGTGTGTGTACTGTGTGTGTAGTGTGTGTACTGTGTGTGTGGTGTGTGTGTGGTGTGTGTGGTGTGTGTGGTGTGTGTGTGGTGTGTGTGTGGTGTGTGTGTTTGTAGTGTGTGTGTGGTGTGTGTGTGGTGTGTGTGTGGGGTGTGTGTGGTGTGTGTGTGGGGTGTGTGTGGTGTGTGTGTGGGGTGTGTGTGGGGTGTGTGTGGGGTGTGTGTGGTGTGTGTGTGTGGTGTGTGTGGGGTGTGTGTGGTGTGTGTGTGGTGTGTGTGTACTGTGTGTGTAGTGTGTGAACTGTGTGTGTGGTGTGTGTGTGGTGTGTGTGGTGTGTGTGGTGTGTGTGGTGTGTGTGTGGTGTGTGTGTGGTGTGTGTGTGGTGTGTGTGTGGTGTGTGTGTGGTGTACTGTGTGTGTGGTGTGTGTGTGGTGTGTGTGTGTGTACTGTGTGTGGTGTGTGTGTGGTGTGTGTGGTGTGTGTGGTGTGTGTGTGGTGTGTGGTGGTGTGTGGTGTGTGTGTGGTGTGTGTGGTGTGTGTGTGTACTGTGTGTGGTGTGTGTGTGTACTGTGTGTGTACTGTGTGTGTACTGTGTGTGTGTACTGTGTGTGTGGTGTGTGTACTGTGTGTACTGTGTGTGTGTGTACTGTGTGTGTACTGTGTGTGTACTGTGTGTGTACTGTGTGTACTGTGTGTGTACTGTGTGTGTGTGTACGGTGTGTGTGTACTGTGTGTGTGTGTACTGTGTGTGTGTACTGTGTGTGTAGTAGCTGGTAGTGGTTGTACGGTAGTGCTAACTGGTGGTGGTGGTTCTTCGTATCTATACTGGTGTTGGTTTGGTTACAATCTTTCCGTTAATTTATTGTCCTTCAACCCGCACACCTCTCATTAGCATGGTGGGCTACGTCCCGCGCAAAACAAGTGATGTTCGTACGGCAGTAGTAGTAGTAGCTGGTGATGGTGGTAGTTGTATAGTAGTAGTAGTAGCTGGTGATGGTGGTAGTTGTATAGTAGTAGTAGCAGCTGGTGATGGTGGTAGTTGTATAGTAGTAGTAGTAGTAGCTGGTGGTGTTGATGGTGGTAGTTGTACGGTAGTAGTAGTAGTAGCTGGTGGTGTTGATGGTGGTAGTTGTACGGTAGTAGTAGTAGCAGCTGGTGATGGTGATGGTGGTAGTTGTATAGTAGTAGTAGCAGCTGGTGATGGTGGTAGTTGTACGGCAGTAGTAGTAGCTGGTGATGGTGGTAGTGATGTTCACACAGCAGTAGTATTGTAGCTGGTGATGGTGATGGTGGTAGTTGTACGGTAGTAGTAGTAGCAGCTGGTGATGGTGATAATTGTACGGTAGTAGTAGTAGCAGCTGGTGATGGTGGTAGTGATGTTCGCACGGCAGTAGTATTGTAGCTGGTGATGGTGATGGTGGTATTTGTACGGTAGTAGTAGTAGCAGCTGGTGATGGTGATAATTGTACGGTAGTAGTAGTAGCAGCTGGTGATGGTGGTAGTGATGTTCGCACAGCAGTAGTATTGTAGCTGGTGATGGTGATGGTGGTATTTGTACGGTAGTAGTAGTAGCAGCTGGTGATGGTGATAATTGTACGGTAGTAGTAGCAGCTGGTGATGGTGGTAGTGATGTTCGCACGGCAGTAGTAGTAGCAGCTGGTGATGGTGGTAGTTGTATAGTAGTAGTAGTAGCTGGTGATGGTGGTAGTTGTATAGTAGTAGTAGCAGCTGGTGATGGTGGTAGTTGTACGGCAGTAGTAGTAGTAGCTGGTGATGGTGGTAGTTGTATAGTAGTAGTAGTAGCTGGTGATGGTGGTAGTTGTATAGTAGTAGTAGCAGCTGGTGATGGTGATGGTGGTAGTTGTACGGTAGTAGTAGTAGCAGCTGGTGATGGTGATGGTGGTAGTTGTACGGTAGTAGTAGTAGCAGCTGGTGATGGTGGTAGTTGTACGGTAGTAGTAGTAGTAGCTGGTGATGGTGATGGTGGTAGTTGTATAGTAGTAGTAGCTGGTGATGGTGGTAGTTGTACGGTAGTAGTAGTAGCAGCTGGTGATGGTGGTAGTTGTACGGTAGTAGTAGTAGTAGCTGGTGGTGTTGATGGTGGTAGTTGTATAGTAGTAGTAGTAGCAGCTGGTGATGGTGATGGTGGTAGTTGTACGGTAGTAGTAGCAGCTGGTGATGGTGGTAGTTGTATAGTAGTAGTAGTAGCTGGTGATGGTGGTAGTTGTACGGTAGTAGTAGTAGTAGCAGCTGGTGATGGTGGTAGTTGTATAGTAGTAGTAGTAGCTGGTGATGGTGGTAGTTGTATAGTAGTAGTAGTAGTAGCTGGTGATGGTGATGGTGGTAGTTGTACGGCAGTAGTAGTAGTAGCAGCTGGTGATGGTGGTAGTTGTGTAGTAGTAGTAGTAGCTGGTGATGGTGGTAGTTGTATAGTAGTAGTAGCAGCTGGTGATGGTGGTAGTTGTATAGTAGTAGTAGGAGTAGCTGGTGGTGTTGATGGTGGTAGTTGTACGGTAGTAGTAGTAGTAGCTGGTGGTGTTGATGGTGGTAGTTGTACGGTAGTAGTAGTAGCAGCTGGTGATGGTGATGGTGGTAGTTGTATAGTAGTAGTAGCAGCTGGTGATGGTGGTAGTTGTACGGCAGTAGTAGTAGCTGGTGATGGTGGTAGTGATGTTCGCACGGCAGTAGTATTGTAGCTGGTGATGGTGATGGTGGTATTTGTACGGTAGTAGTAGTAGCAGCTGGTGATGGTGATAATTGTACGGTAGTAGTAGTAGCAGCTGGTGATGGTGGTAGTGATGTTCGCACGGCAGTAGTATTGTAGCTGGTGATGGTGATGGTGGTATTTGTACGGTAGTAGCAGTAGCAGCTGGTGATGGTGATGGTGGTAATTGTACGGTAGTAGTAGTAGCAGCTGGTGATGGTGGTGGTGGTAATTGTACAGTAGTAGTAGTAGCAGCTGGTGATGGTGATGGTGGTAGTTGTACGGTAGTAGTAGTAGCAGCAGCTGGTGATGGTGATGGTTGTATAGTAGTAGTAGTAGTAGCTGGTGGTGATGGTGGTAGTTGTATAGTAGTAGTAGCAGCTGGTGGTGGTAGTTGTATAGTAGTAGTAGTAGCAGCAGCTGGTGATGGTGATGGTGGTAGTTGTATAGTAGTAGTAGTAGTAGCTGGTGGTGATGGTGGTAGTTGTACGGCAGTAGTAGTAGTAGCTGGTGATGGTGGTAGTTGTATAGTAGTAGTAGCAGCTGGTGGTGGTAGTTGTATAGTAGTAGTAGTAGCAGCAGCTGGTGATGGTGATGGTGGTAGTTGTATAGTAGTAGTAGTAGTAGCTGGTGGTGATGGTGGTAGTTGTACGGCAGTAGTATTAGTAGCTGGTGGTAGTTGTATAGTAGTAGTAGCAGCTGGTGATGGTGGTAGTTGTACGGTAGTAGTAGCAGCTGGTGATGGTGATGGTGGTAGTGATGTTCGCACGGTAGTAGTAGTAGCAGCTGGTGATGGTGGTGGTAGTGATGTTCGCACGGCATGGCGGCAGTGGCGTCGGCGTTGTGGGTGTACCCATCCCGCACGGTGTTTGGCGACGACTGGCACGTCTCCGGCGAGCCGTTACCTTGTGGTGGGCAGGCGACTCCGATCTCTGTCGCAGTTTCCACTCAGCCTCCACAATCTCGCGCATCTTCATGTTCACCTGCGCACAACGACAACGGATCGGCAGCGTGGCCTCTGTGAATTCACTCGTGCGCGCGCGTGTGAATTATCCCGTTCTTTTTCCATGAAAAGCGAAAGTCCCATATAAGTATTGAAAATTTCGATTGAAAGCTTTCGTGACTGCAGCAGGGATTCATCTTCTTGGTTCTTTCGGTAAAGTCATCACGTAGAAGGGAAATAATAAAATAATATAAATAAAACATAATAAAATATATGATTTTAATAGAAGGGAAATAATAAAATAATAAAAATAAAACAATAAAATAATCTAATATATTTTATTTAAATAATATAATATAAAGTCACGTAGAAGGGAAATAATAAAATATTAAAAATAAACCATAATAAAATATATTATATTAGTTTAATAAAATATATTATATTATTTTAATGTTTTATTTTTATTATTTGATTATTTCCCTTCTACTCGACTTTATATATTATATTATTTTAATAAAATATATTATATTATTTTATTATGTTTTATTTTTATTATTTGATTATTTCCCTTCTACGTGACTTTATATATTATATTATTTTAATAAAATATATATTATTTTTTAATGTTTTATTTTTATTATTTGATTATTTCCCTTCTACGTGACTTTATACATTATATTATTTTAATAAAATATATTATATTATTTTATTATGTTTTATTTTTATTATTTGATTATTTCCCTTCTACGTGACTTTACCGATAGAGCCAAGAAGTAGTATTCAAAACTAATTTAAGCGCCCTGTGTATTTGGAGTTTGCGCGTCTCTCTCTCTCGCGTGGATTTTTCTCCGGGTCCTCCCGGTTTCTACCCTCGCCGCGTTTAGAGTCGGCGCCACGCGTTTCCAGCATTTGACTGCCGCTATAAAATTTCCAGGCGACAATGACGATCACCGCGTAAACGAACAGTTCAGTTCCACAGTTTGTCGTGCAGCACGACAAACACTGCCGCTCTGCTGCCTGCTGCGTTTCCGTGTAGCCCCAGCGCTCTATGAGTATGGGTCTCTGTGGGTCTCTATGAGTATGGGTCTCTATGAGTATGGGTCTTTGTGGGTCCACGGGTCTCTATGAGTCTGTACAAACACGCGTTTAGAGTATTCGGCTGCCGCTGTGAATGTCCACGTGATGATGATGATGACGATAAGTCACGTGGTGGAGCTGCAATCATTCGTGATGGCCAGGGTCAGGGGGTCACAGCAACTCTGTGGGGCCTTAACCTGGTAAAGCGAAATAAATAAACACGTGACCTGAGCTGAGTCTTCTTGGTTCTTTCGGTAAAGTCATTACGTAGAAGAGAAATAATAAAATAATACAAATAAAACATAATAAAATAATTCTCACGACGTTTCGGCCACAACGCAAGCAGCCGTCCTCAGGTGAAGAATGAAACACCACCAAGCTTGGAGCGTATATTTAAGCTGCGTTGGAGAGGGGGAGGTGGGAAGAAGAGCACCTTGACAAAAGAATTTGCAACCCAAAAGAATCTCCAACCCAGATTAAATATACGCTCCAAGCTTGGTGGTGTTTCATTCTTCACCTGAGGACGGCTGCTTGCGTTGTGGCCGAAACGTCGTGAGAATTATATTCTTAGGTTTTTTCGGTAAAGTCACGTAGGTAAAAACATTAAAAAGTAAAATAAAATAAAAATCACGACGTTTCGGAGGCAACACAAGCTTCCGTCTTCAGGTGGAACCGTCACAGCCACGACAGCTGTATCAAGTAAATGAAATGAAATTTTTATTTTATTTTACTTTTTAATGTTTTTACCTACGTGACTTTACCGAAAAAACCTAAGAATATGAATCATTGCAGTCACGAAAGCTTCAAATCTAGAAGTCGTGAGAATTATTTTATTATGTTTCATTTTTATTATTTTATTATTTCCATTCTACGTGACTTTACCACAAGAACCAAGAAGATGAATCCCTGCAGTCACGAAAGCTTTAAATCGAAAGGAAGGTAAATTACCCTTTTTACCGGGTAAAAGGGTAAAGATGTCGACATGCCAAGGGGTAAGGTAAAGGGTCGGGTAAAGGTAGCTCGGAAGAATTACCCGGTAAATACGGTGCCTTGTTTACCGCTAAAAGCTCCGTGGCGCAGTCCGTGGCCTCCATTTAATAAGTAACATTTAAACAAACTTTAAAAAAAACACGCTTTTATAAAATGTACTAGTAATGGAAGAACTCCACGACTCCAGTAAGTGGCCCCGAGGCTTGCCATAACGTGAGGGACCGTGGCCAATTACAGCCAACGTCAGTTGAGCGTGGACAATTAGAGCCAAGCCGAAACATAACGTGTAAAAAAGATCATTTAAAAATATGTATTTTTTTAGTGATAGAATATAGTATTGTCACCATTATGACATACGTATACCAAGTTTGCAGTCGATACCACATTGGGAAGTGGGTTAAAATTGAATTACAAAATTTGAGGATACGACAGCGATGACGACTTCAACAACGACAACAACAACGACAACAACAACAACGACGACGACAACAAAAGACAGAGTGAGTTAATAGAAAGCGTGTAAAATTGGAATCATCTAGAGTATTCTATATGTATAAAGCGCTCTACCTTATAGCATTTACCGTTATAAACCTTGTTCATGTGTAGTAGTTCCCTAGTAATTACCCTGTAATCGGGTAATTTGTATTGTGGTAAGGTAAAGCTAGGCTCGTTGTTTTTACCTTTAAACTTTTACCTTACCTTGCCAAGGCCTACCCAGCGCGTACCTGTGTGCGTTACCCTCGCCACGCGCGCGCGGCACGACCCCGTACGCTCACCTTGTTGATCCAGAAGAGCATGGCGTCTTCCAGGCCGTAGGGCAGCTCCTGCGAGGCGGAGAACGTGGAGAAGCGCTGCACGGCCGCCACCACGCGCTCCACGCTCATCATCTCCACCGCCACCGCCATCATCAGCGCGTCCATCAGAGCCAGGTGAGCCACCTGGTCACGCGGGCGGGCACACGGACGCTCCGTTAAACCGTTCCTACAGAGACCCACGCTCAAAGAGACCCGCATGACCAGGTGAGCCACCTGACCACGCGGGCGGGCACACGGACGCTCCGTTAAACCGTTCCTACAGAGACCCACGCTCATAGAGACCCGCATGACCAGGTGAGCCACCTGATCACGCGGGCGGGCACACGGACGCTCCGTTAAACCGTTCCTACAGAGACCCACGCTCATAGAGACCCGTGTGACCAGGTGAGCCACCTGATCACGCGGGCGGGCACACGGACGCTCCGTTAAACCGTTCCTACAGAGACCCACGCTCATAGAGACCCGCGTCACCAGGTGAGCCACCTGGTCACGCGGGCGGGCACACGGACGCTCCGTTAAACCGTTCCTACAGAGACCCACGCTCAAAGAGACTCGCGTGACCAGGTGAGCCACCTGGTCATGCGGGCAGGCACACGGACGCTCCGTTAAACCGTTCCTACAGAGACCCACGCTCATAGAGACCCGCGTGACCAGGTGAGCCACCTGGTCACGCGGGCGGGCACACGGACGCTCCGTTAAACCGTTCCTACAGAGACCCACGCTCATAGAGACCCGCATGACCAGGTGAGCCACCTGGTCACGCGGGCGGGCACACGGACGCTCCGTTAAACCGTTCGTGAGCGACAGAGGTGGCGGATCATGCGGCGGGGGTGGTGGTTCGGTTCGGGGCATCCCCCGCTGGAACGCGGATTGGCGAAGGTTTGGGTTGTTCGCCCAGACGAGTGTAGATATGCAATGTTCGTATACACTACTATATACTACTATATTACTATACACTACTATATACTACTATATATTACTATACACAACTATATACTATACACTACTATATACTACTATACGCTATAATATTACTATACACCACTATACTACTATACGAATGCATCGTGTGCATTCACACCGGATGACGGCTGCTTGTGTTGCATTAGAAACGTCGCATTCTATTACTTAGTTTAGTTTATTTCTACATGACTTTAGCGAAAGAACCAAAAAGTAATTGCTGCAGTCAGGAAAGCTTCTAATCAAGTTTGGCTTTTCATCATCGTCATCATTGTCATCATCGTCGTCATCGTCATCGTCGTCGTCACACTCGTAGAGATCCACACTCACAGAGACCCACAAAGACCCACACTCATAGAGACCCACAGAGACCCATACTCATAGAGATCCACAGAGACCCATACTCATAGAGATCCACAGAGACCCATACTCATAGAGATCCACAGAGACCCATACTCATAGAGATCCACAGAGACCCATACTCATAGAGACCCACAGAGACCCATACTCATAGAGACCCACAGAACCCATACTCATAGAGATCCACAGAGACCCATACTCAGAGACCAACAGAGACCCATACTCAGAGACCAACAGAGACCCATACTCATAGAGACCCACAGAGACCCATACTCATAGAGACCCACAGAGACCCATACTCACAGAGACCCACAGAGACCCACACTCATAGAGACCCACAGAGACCCATACTCATAGAGACCCACAGAGACCCATACTCATAGAGATCCACAGAGACCCATACTCAGAGACCAACAGAGACCCATACTCAGAGACCAACAGAGACCCATACTCATAGAGACCCACAGAGACCCATACTCAGAGACCCACAGAGACCCATACTCATAGAGACCCACAGAGACCCATACTCAGAGACCCACAGAGACCCACACTCATAGAGACCCACAGAGACCCACACTCATAGAGACCCACAGAGACCCATACTCACAGAGACCCACAGAGACCCACAGAGACCCACAGAGACCCATACTCACAGAGACCCACAGAGACCCACACTCATAGAGACCCACAGAGACCCACACTCACAGAGACCCACAGAGACCCACAGAGACCCACAGAGACCCATACTCATAGAGACCCACAGAGACCCACACTCACAGAGACCCACAGAGACCCACAGAGACCCACACTCACAGAGACCCACAGAGACCCACAGAGACCCACAGAGACCCACACTCACAGAGACCCACAGAGACCCACACCCACAGAGACCCACAGAGACCCACACTCACAGAGACCCACAGAGACCCACACCCACAGAGACCCACAGAAACCCACACTCACAGAGACCCACAGAGACCCACACTCACAGAGACCCACAGAGACCCACACCCACAGAGACCCACAGAAACCCACACCCACAGAGACCCACACTCACAGAGACCCACAGAGACCCACACTCACAGAGACCCACAGAGACCCACACTCACAGAGACCCACAGAGACCCACAGAGACCCACACTCACAGAGACCCACAGAGACCCACACCCACAGAGACCCACACCCACAGAGACCCACAGAGACCCACACTCACAGAGACCCACAGAGACCCACACTCACAGAGACCCACAGAGACCCACACTCACAGAGACCCACAGAGACCCACAGAAACCCACAGAGACCCACAGAGACCCACAGAGACCCACAGAGACCTACAGACCTACAGAAACCCGTTAAGGAAAAGGGTTAAGAACATGCATCTCCCTCGGCGCTCTCCCTCCTCGTTCACGCATCTCACGTGAAACCTCTCCGCGTCGCGTGGCGTGCCGGGCCCCTCGTATTGACGTTACAACAAATACAAACACAGAACAAGACGAGCGCTCATCTCGGGGAGCCCAGCGACACGTTCCGTGGGGAATTCAGGACGAGAGAGCGAGAGAGTGAGAGAGTGAGAGAAAGAAAGACCCGCTAGAGGCAGACCCACAGAGACTCGGAGGAATGCGCCAGCGCTGATAGCGTTCGCGCCAGCAGCCCCCCCCCCGCCGTCCCCCTCTCACCGGGGTCGCTTCACCCCCGGTGACATCGGCACGTTTTAAACAAAGCAAACAGCTCTGCCGGCACGCGCCGGGATTACGCGTGTGCCGCGAGGGGAGTGGGCACGGGGAGAATGACGCGCGGCAAAAGCCCCCCGTCCCCCGTCCCCCGTCCCCCGCCGCACCCCCCCCCCCCTCCTGGCCCGGCGTAACAAAATCATAGTGGGGAGCACAGGTGGTGGTGGTGGTGCAGCATCTGCCAATCATTTCGGTCAATCCGTGACTATTTCACGACTATTTTGTATTTTACAACCAGGTAAGGCCCCAATCCGAGCCACTGTGGAGCTCTTTATCGGTAGCGAACCCCGGCAATCGAAAATGACAATAAAGTGGCCGATGATCATCATCGTCGTCATCATCATCATCGTCGTCGTCGTCGTCATCGTCGTCATCATCATCATCGTCGTCATCATCATCGTCGTCATCATCATCGTCGTCATCATCATCGTCGTCATCATCATCGTCGTCATCATCATCATCGTCATCATCATCGTCATCATCATCATCGTCGTGCGGAAATGTACAGCGGCATCCAAAAACGCGTGTTGCCACAGACTCGTAGAGACCCACAGAGACCCACAGAGACCCACAGAGACCCACAGAGACCCACAGAGACCCTACTCAGACGCCCATACTTATAGAGACCCACAGAGATCCACAGAGACCCACAGAGACCCACAGAGACCCACAGAGACCCACAGAGACCCACAGAGACCCACACTCACAGAGATCCACTCAGAGACCTACAGAAACCCATACTCGTCAAGACCCATATTAAAACCAAACTTGTATTTTAGCAGGTAAAGCCGACTGAGCTATGCAGCTCTTGTTTAGAAGCGACCTGTACCCTTCACACCACGTGCCCTCCCCCCTGCCCCAATGCACACGGTGTTTCCCACCTGCGTGGAGTAGTGAGCCCAATCTCTACCCCCCCCCCCGGCCCTCCCACAGAGCAACCTGTCAAGCCGACATATTCTCGGGCCCCCCGATCGCTGAGCTTCTGTACCCCCCACGAACCCCCCCCCCGCCCCACCCCCCTCTCCCCCAACCCACCCCTCCCCCCGCCCCCTACGTTCAGCGTCTTTGTACCAGAGAGAGGGAAGGGAGGGCGATAAGTAAACTATTGAAATTACCGTAGAATTTTTGTATGCACATTCAAAGTAACAATAAAATAATAGACGATAAAACCAAAAAAGTTGAATCTATATGTATAAAAGGGAAATTTGTGAATATGTGTGTCCGTTCGAAATGTTTAGCGTACTTCGCGACATGCAACAAACTTTGACAAGTGGGTAGCTTCCAGACTGAACACAATGCAAAAAGCATAAAAATAGACTTTTGTATTTTGGGGGGGGGGCGCAATAATGGATATATTTTGCACGGCAAGTGAGCGGTGACGTCACATCTGTGACGTCACATCTGTGACGTCACACATGTGACGTCACAGATGTGATGTCACCCCCATGCTGCAGCGTCACGCTGTGTTGCCTGCTGACGTCACGCATCCCCCACCCCCCCACCCTCCGCGTAGGCCGTGTGTTAATCCAAGACAAGAATCCAAGTCTCAGGCGAAGCCGGATAGCAGAGGTCGCAAATGGATTTTGATTCCTTACCCGTACCCGGCCGCACCAGGGTCGCAAACGGCTACCCGCACCCGGCCGGGTACGGGCAGCCGGGTATCGGGTAGGGTACGGGTATCGGGTATCCGATTGCGACCTCTGCCGGGTAGTAAAGCAAGTAGGACAAAAATTCAAATTAAAAAGTTTTAATTTGAACGCCACCCGGCCGTCGTTTGCACGCAGCCTCCCACCATGTTGATGGGCGTGTGCGCCAGGTCATCCTCCGTGATGGGGGTCTCCCCAGAACCGCCGCCCACCACGTGAAGGCCCTTGTCAGCCAGAGCCCGCACCACGGCCCCGTGGCCCCCGCCGGGACCCGCGGTGGGGCCCCTGTCGCCGCCGCCGCCACCGCCACCGCCCCCGCGCATCACCAGCAGGCAAACCTACGCGGGGCGCAGGGCCCGGAGAGCAGGCCACGCGGAGAGCGAGAGGAGCGAGAAGGGAGAGAGGTGAGAGATGAGAGAGATGAGAGAGAGGTGAGTGAGAGATGAGAGAGATGAGAGAGAGTTACATGCTAATTCCTCACTTTAACATCATGCTAATCTCTCACATTAACATAGCTACTGCCGTGCCCAGTTACATGCACATTTCTCACTTTAACATCATGCTAATCTCTCAACTTAACATAGCCACTTCCGTACCCAGTTACATGTTAATTTCTCACATTAACATCATGCTAATCTCTCACATTATCATAGCTACTGCCGTACCCAGTTACATGCTAATTCCTCACTTTAACATCATGCTAATCTCTCACATTATCATAGCTACTGCCGTACCCAGTTACATGCCAATGTCTCACTTTAACGTCATGCTAATCACTCACATTAACATAGCTACTGCTGTGCCCAGTTACATGCTAATTTCTCACTTTAACATCATGCTAATCTCTCACATTAACATAGCTACTGCCGTACCCAGCTACATGCTAATTTCTCACATTAACATCATGCTAATCTCTCACATTAACATAGCTACTGCTGTGCCCAGTTACATGCCAATTTCTCACATTAACATCATGCAAATCTCTCAACTTACCATAGCCACTTCCGTACCCAGTTATGCCAATTTCTCACTTTAACATCATGCTAATCTCTCACATTAACATAGCTCCTGCCGTGCCCAGTTACATGCTAATGTCTCACTTTAACATCATGCTAATCTCTCACATTAACATAGCTACTGCTGTGCCCAGTTACATGCCAATTTCTCACATTAACATCATGCTAATCTCTCACATTAACATAGCTACTGCTGTGCCCAGTTACATGCTAATCTCTCACTTTAACATCATGCTAATCTCTCACATTAACATAGCTACTGCCGTACCCAGTTACATGCTAATTCCTCACTTTAACATCATGCTAATCTCTCACATTAACATAGCCACTTCCGTACCCAGTTACATGCTAATCTCTCACATTAACATCATGCTAATCTCTCACATTAACATAGCCACTTCCGTACCCAGTTACATGCTAATTTCTCACTTTAACATCATGCTAATCTCTCACATTAACATAGCTACTGCCAAACCCAGTTGCATGTCAATTTCTCACATTAACATCATGCTAATCTCTCACATTAACATAGCTACTGCCGTACCCAGTTACATGCTAATTCTTCACTTTAACATCATGCTAATCTCTCACATTAACATAGCCACTTCCGTACCCAGTTACATGCTAATCTCTCACATTAACATAGCTACTGCCGTACCCAGTTACATACTAATCTCTCACATTAACATCATGCTAATCTCTCACATTAACATAGCCACTTCCGTGCCCAGTTACATACTAATCTCTCACATTAACATCATGCTAATCTCTCACATTAACATAGCTACTGCCGTACCCAGTTACATGCCAATTTCTCACGTTAATATCATGCTAATCGCTCACATTATCATAGCTCCTGCCGTGCCCAGTTACATGCTAATTTCTCACTTTAACATCATGCTAATCTCTAACATTATCATAGCTACTGCCGTACCCAGTTACATGCCAATTTCTCACATTAACATCATGCTAATCTCTCACATTATCATAGCTACTGCCGTACCCAGTTACATGCCAATTTCTCACATTAACATCATGCTAATCTCTCAACTTACCATAGCCACTTCCGTGCTCAGTTACATGCCAATTTCTCACTTTAACATCACTAGACCCAGCCAGTTCTTTATGACCCATGGGCTACACCCATTTCAAACCTTTTAAGACAGTCTGCATCAGCAGCAGGCCACGCTTTCACACCTGATGACGGACGCTTGTGTTGCGCCCGAAACGTCGTGATCTATTTTATTTTATACCCACGTGACTTTACCGAAAGAACCAAAGAGTACGGGGATCTGTGCGAGTCTTTGCACGTGTGTACGAAAGGTGTGACCTTCTTCACACAGTGCGTACGTAGCCAGCCGTGTTAATCAGAACTGCCCTGTGTGATTCTCTGGGGCTCTGTGCGAGTCTTTGCACGTGTGTACGAAAGGTGTGACCTTCTTTCACACAGTGCGTACGTAGCCAGCCGTGTTAATCAGAACTGCCCTGTGTGATTCTCTGGGGCTCTGTGCGAGTCTTTGCACGTGTGTACGTACTGTGTGACCTTCTTTCACACAGTACGTACGTAGCCAGCCGTGTTAATCAGAACTGCCCTGTGTGATTCTCTGGGGCTCTGTGCGAGTCTGTGCACATGTGTACGTACTGTGTGAATCTCTGGGGCTCTAGTGCGAGTCTGTGCACGTGTGTACGCACTGTGTGAATCTCTGGGGCTCTGTGCGAGTCTGTGCACGTGTGTACGTACTGTGTGAATCTCTGGGGCTCTGTGCGAGTCTGTGCACGTGTGTACGTACTGTGTGATTCTGTGGGGCTCTGTGCGAGTCTATGCACGTGTGTACGTACTGTGTGAACTTCTTTCGTACCGTGCGTACGTAGCCGACCCTGCTTATCAGAACTGCCCTGTGCGATTCTCTGGGGCTCTGTGCGAGTCTTTGCACGTGTGTACGAAAGGTGTGACCTTCTTTCACACAGTGCGTACGTAGCCAGCCGTGTTAATCAGAACTGCCCTGTGTGATTCTCTGGGGCTCTGTGCGAGTCTGTGCACGTGTGTACGTACTGTGTGATTCTGTGGGGCTCTGTGCGAGTCTATGCACGTGTGTACGTACTGTGTGAACTTCTTTCGTACCGTGCGTACGTAGCCGACCCTGCTTATCAGAACTGCCCTGTGCGATTCTCTGGGGCTCTGTGCGAGTCTTTGCACGTGTGTACGTACTGTGTGACCTTCTTTCACACAGTACGTACGTAGCCAGCCATGCTAATCAGAACTGCCCTGTGTGAATCTGAGGCTCTGTGCGAGTCTGTGCACATGTGTACGTACTGTGTGATTCTCTAGGGCTCTGTGCGAGTCTGTGCACGTGTGTACGTACTGTGTGAATCTCTGGGGCTCTGTGCGAGTCTGTGCACGTGTGTACGTACTGTGTGAATCTCTGGGGCTCTAGTGCGAGTCTGTGCACGTGTGTACGCACTGTGTGAATCTCTGGGGCTCTGTGCGAGTCTGTGCACGTGTGTACGTACTGTGTGAATCTCTGGGGCTCTGTGCGAGTCTGTGCACGTGTGTACGCACTGTGTGAATCTCTGGGGCTCTAGTGCGAGTCTGTGCACGTGTGTACGTACTGTGTGAATCTCTGGGGCTCTAGTGCGAGTCTGTGCACGTGTGTACGCACTGTGTGAATCTCTGGGGCTCTGTGCGAGTCTGTGCACGTGTGTACGTACTGTGTGAATCTCTGGGGCTCTGTGCGAGTCTGTGCACGTGTGTACGCACTGTGTGAATCTCTGGGGCTCTGTGCGAGTCTGTGCACGTGTGTACGCACTGTGTGAATCTCTGGGGCTCTGTGCGAGTCTGTGCACGTGTGTACGCACTGTGTGAATCTCTGGGGCTCTGTGCGAGTCTGTGCACGTGTGTACGCACTGTGTGAATCTCTGGGGCTCTGTGCGAGTCTGTGCACGTGTGTACGCACTGTGTGAATCTCTGGGGCTCTAGTGCGAGTCTGTGCACGTGTGTACGCACTGTGTGAATCTCTGGGGCTCTAGTGCGAGTCTGTGCACGTGTGTACGTACTGTGTGATTCTCTGGGGCTCTGTGCGAGTCTGTGCACGTGTGTACGTACTGTGTGAATCTCTGGGGCTCTGTGCGAGTCTGTGCACGTGTGTACGCACTGTGTGAATCTCTGGGGCTCTAGTGCGAGTCTGTGCACGTGTGTACGCACTGTGTGAATCTCTGGGGCTCTGTGCGAGTCTGTGCACGTGTGTACGCACTGTGTGAATCTCTGGGGCTCTAGTGCGAGTCTGTGCACGTGTGTACGTACTGTGTGAATCTCTGGGGCTCTGAGCGAGTCTGTGCACGTGTGTACGCACTGTGTGAATCTCTGGGGCTCTAGTGCGAGTCTGTGCACGTGTGTACGTACTGTGTGAACTTCTTTCGTACCGTACGTACGTAGCCGACCCTGCTTATCGGAACTGCTCTGTGTGTGTGATTCTCTAGGGCTCTGTGTGAGTCTATGCACGTGTGTACGTACTGTGCGACCTTCTTTCGCACCGTGCGTAAGTAGCCATCCATGCAAATCGGAGGTGCGGGGGGGCGAGGGCAGAAGACACCAAGCTAAAAGAAGCGCCGCACACACCTGAGAGTAGAGCTCCCCGGTGAGCAGCAGGCGCGTCACGGGAGGCTTGATGTGCTCCTGCTCGTACTGGTCCGTGTAGAAGGGGTCACGCAAGTGCTCCGGCACATGGTCTGCGGAGAACGGGGGGGGGGGGGGGGGGGGGGGGGGGGGGGAGACGGTGCTCGCGGCGACGGGTACCGTGGCGGCGATGGTGTCGCCGTGGTAACCACGGCCGTGGTGACCGGAGCGTCGACGTGGTGCGGTTGATAATTGTTTTTTGACCCTTCTATCTGGCAACAAAACTGACGCTTTTTTTACGAGGAGTCATGTTTGCATAGACCACAATACCTGCAGTCATAATGCAAACAAAAACATTTTAAACATAACTCTGCTAATGATATGCACTGTCCTTGAAGTCGATTGGTCCACACCCGAGACAGCTTTCCTTAGAGCCTAGTCTCACATGGTGTTGAAACAGATGACGCCAAAAGGCGCACAACTCAAAGGCAACGCACCATCAGAGTATGAGAGCTCGGGGTAAGCATTTACACCATTGGAACCTCATTTGTCAGTAAAAAATATGATAATTGTTTTTTTACCCTTTTATCTGGCAACAAAACTGACACATTTTTTACGAGGAGTCATGTTTGCATAGACCACAATACCTGCAGCCATAATGCAAACAAAAAAACATAACTCTGATAATGTATGTGCACTGTCCTTGAAGTTGATTGGTCCACACACGAGACAGCTTTCCCTAGAGCCTAGTCTCACATGGTGTTGGACCAGATGACACAAATAAAACACAACTCTGATAATATATGCACTGTCCTTGAAGTTGATTGGTCCACACCCGAGACAGCTTTCCCTAGAGCCTAGTCTCACATGGTGTTGGACCAGATGACACAAATAAAACACAACTCTGATAATATATGCACTGTCCTTCAAGTTGATTGGTCCACACCCGAGACCGCTTTCCCTAGAGCCTAGTCTCACATGGTGTTGCACCAGATGACGCCAAAAGGCGCATGGTGCGGTTGCTCGCGGCGACGGGCGCGTGCGACGGGTACCGCCGCGGCGACGACATCGTCGCCGCGGCAACTACGGCCGTGGCGACCGGAGCGTCGACGTGGTGCGGTTGCTAACGGCGACGGCCGTTGCCGCCGGCGATGCCCCGGCTCACCAGCGCCGTACGCCTTGCCGAGGAGCCAGGCGAGGCTGGCGGCTGTCTTGGCCCGGTTGGCATCGTAGCGTTCGGGGGGCACGACGGCCGGGCCCCCCTCCCCTGCGCCCCCCGCCGGCGGCCCCCCACCCCAGCCGTTGTCTTGCGCCAGCGACTCCGACATGGCCCCCCCTGGAAAGGGTCGAGAGGCAGGCCCGGGGGATGTCAAGATACAGCGATATCTCACTCCTCGTAACGGCGGCGATCGGTTCCGCGAATAGGCCGTCAAGCGATTTGGGTCGTCAAGCGAGCGTGGGGGAGAGCGCGTTGAAGGCTCGATTTCACGATGACGTTTAAACAACGGGATGTTGTTCCCGATAGGGTGTTTGCCCCTTTTTTCTGGCAACAAAACGGACACCATTCAGACTCTGTCGCCTCGACGGACCTGGTTTTCACCTGAGGATGGCTGCTTGCGTTGTGGCCATCAGTGTAGTGCCTTGACAGAGCTCCAATGTGTTCGCTTACTGACCATTCTTGCCCTGCTATCGATGGGCTGTTGTAGGCACAGCAAATATTAATTTTGGAGCTTTCGTGACTGCAAGAATTATTCTTTGGTTCTTTCGGTAAAGTCACGTATGAAGATAAATAATAAATTAAATAATAGCATACGACGTTTCGATTGCAACACAAGCAATCATCATCAGGTATAATGAAATAGCGACATAGAATCTAACCAGAAAACCACAGATTTTGTCTCGCTATTTCATTATACCTGATGATGATTGCTTGTGTTGCAATCGAAACGTCGTATGCTATTATTTAATTTATTATTTTATCTCTATACGTCACTTTACCGAAAGAACCAAAGAATAATTCCTGCAGTCACGAAAGCTCCAAAATTAATATTTGCTGTGCCTACAACAGCCCATCGATAGCAGGGCAAGAATGGTCAGTAAGCGAACACATTGGAGCTCTGTCAAGGCACTACACTACAAACACATTCCTGCGGAGGGAGCTGGTAGGAACGTTGGGTTGCTCGGTCAATGGCCTGCAGGGTCAACGACGGCGTGGTGTATTCCGCAAATATGGACGACTGTGAGGGCGGGCACAAGCCGGCGTGAGTAGGTTAAGCGTTGAGTTTTATAAGGGCACCACGGGGTGACCAGCCCCTCCCCACCCAGCCCCTCCCCACCCTCCCCACCCAGCCCCTCCCCACCCTCCCCTCCCCACCCAGCCCCAGCCCTACCCTCCCCACCCAGCCCCTCCCACCCTCCCCTCTCCACCCAGCCCCACACCTCCCGTTTTTGGATGCACGACGGACGGACGGACACAATAATCCCCTGTGGGCTGGTGTAACCAGGAGGTTCCTACCAGTATAAACTACACAATACGCTACCAAACACTACAGCAACAGCAACAGGAGCAGCAGCAGCATCATCAGCAGCAGCAGGAGCAGCAGTAGCAGCAGGAGCAGCATCATCAGCATCATCATCAGCAGCAGCAGGAGCAGCAACAGCAGGAGCAACAACAGCAACAGCAGCAACAACAGCAGCAGGAGCAGCAGTAGCAGTGGTAGCAGCAGTAGCAGCAGCAGCGGCAACAGCAGCAGGAGCAGCAGCAGTAGCAGCAGCATCATCAGCAGCAACAGCAGCATCATCATCAGCATCATCATCAGCAGCAGCAACAGCAGCAGGAGCAGCAGTAGCAGTGGTAGCAGCAGTAGCAGCAGCAGCAGCGGCAACAGCAGCAGGAGTAGTAGAAGCAGTAGCAGCAGCAGCAGGAGCAGCAGCAGGAGGAGCAGCATCATCATCATCATCAGCAGCAGCATCATCATCATCAGCAGCATCATCATCATCATCATCATCAGCAGCAGCAGCATCATCATCATCAGCAGCAGCAGCAGCAGCAGCAGCATCATCATCATCATCAGCAGCAGCAGCAGCATCATCATCATCAGCAGCAGCATCAGCAGCAGCAGCATCATCATCATCAGCAGCAGCATCAGCATCACAGCCGCACCCGTACGACGGCTTCTTTGTTGCGACAAATCAGAAGCGGCGACAGCATCACTGTCGAACTGGCGAGCGATGGCTGCTGCTGCTGCTGCTGCTGCGGAGGATGATGATGATGAGGATGATGATGATGCTTGCCGATCATTTCATCCTGCACATCGGGGCCTACGCTGGGATTCCCACCGCCGTCGAAAACAAAGATCGCCCCCCCGTATAGCCTTGACAGACTGTAGGGGCAAGTGCTGTTAGTAGCGAGCACTGCTTATGAAGGCTACCGGCACAATGGCACACGAGGGGGTGGGTGGCGAGCATCACAAAGACAAACATCCCCCGTATAGCCTACACAGACTGTAGGGGCAAGTGCTGTCAGTAGCGAGTAGCAGCAGCACCACTTACGAAGGCTACCGGCACTGTGGCACACGAGGGGGTGGGTGGGTGGGTGGCCAGCATCACAAAGACAAACATCCCCCGTATAGCCTTGACAGACTGTAGGGGCAAGTGCTGTCAGTAGCGAGCACTGCTTATGAAGGGTGGGCCAGCACCACAAAGATAAACATCCCCCATATAGCCTACACAGACTGTAGGGGCAAGTGCTGTTACTAGCGAGCACTGCTTATGAAGGCTACCGGCGCTGTGGCACACGAGGGGGTGGGTGGCCAGGACCACAAAGATAAACATCCCCCGTATAGCCTACACAGACTGTAGGGGCAAGTGCTGTTAGTAGCGAGCACTGCTTATGAAGGGTGGGCCAGCACCACAAAGATAAACATCCCCCGTATAGCCTACACAGACTGTAGGGGCAAGTGCTGTTAGTAGCGAGCACTGCTTATGAAGGGTGGGCCAGCACCACAAAGATAAACATCCCCCGTATAGCCTACACAGACTGTAGGGGCAAGTGCTGTTAGTAGCGAGCACTGCTTATGAAGGGTGGGCCAGCACCACAAAGATAAACATCCCCCGTATAGCCTACACAGACTGTAGGGGCAAGTGCTGTCAGTAGCGAGCACTGCTTATGAAGGCTACCGGCACAGTGGCACACGAGGGGGTGGGTGGCCAGCATCACAAAGACAAACATCCCCCGTATAGCCTTGACAGACTGTAGGGGCAAGTGCTGTTAGTAGCGAGCACTGCTTATGAAGGCTGGCACAATGGCACACGAGGGGGTGGGTGGCTAGCATCACAAAGACAAACATCCCCGTATAGCCTACACAGACTGTAGGGGCAAGTGCTGTCAGTAGCGAGCTCTGCTTATGAAGGCTACCGGCACAGTGGCACACGAGGGGGTGGGTGGCCAGCACCACGCCCTACCGCCTTTGTCTCCCCAGTGGCGATGTTTACTACACACAGCACCAGATACTCATTTGAGGCTGAGTCGACCTAGGGTAGACCCAGGACCGGTTCGGTCAACCGTCACCGATGGTGTTAGTGGCCTTGAGTGGGAATGGAACGTGGGTCAGAGGTCGCAACCGGGTACCCGATACCCGTACCCTACCCGATACCCGTACCCTACCCGATACCCGTACCCTACCCGATACCCGTACCCTACACCCGTACCCTACCCGATACCCGTACCCGATACACGTACCCTACCCGATACACGTACCCTACCCGATACCCGTACCCTACTCGATACCCGTACCCTACCCGATACCCGTACCCTACCCGATACCCGTACCCTACTCGATACCCGTACCCTACCCGATACCCGTACCCTACCCGATACCCGTACCCTACACCCGTACCCTACCCTACCCGATACCCTACCGATACCCGTACCCTACCCGATACACGTACCCTACACCCGTACCCTACCCGATACCCGTACCCTACCCGATACCCGTACCCTACCCGATACCCGTACCCTACACCCGTACCCTACCCTACCCGATACCCTACCCGATACCCGTACCCTACCCGATACCCGTACCCTACCCGATACCCGTACCCTACACCCGTACCCTACCCGATACCCGTACCCTACCCGATACCCGGCTACCCGTACCCGGCCGGGTACGGGTACCCGTTAGCGACCCTGGTGCGGCCGGGTACGGGTACGGGTAGGCCGTGAGTCACTGGTGAGTCACCGTTTCATCTTCTTGGTTCTTTCGGTAAAGTCACGTGACTTTACCGAAAGAACCAAGAAGATGAATCCCTGCAGTCACGAAAGCTTTAAATCGAAGAGTCACCGTTTGTCACTCATTTCCCAACGTCTTGTCTCTTCTCACAATTCAAGTTCCTAGAATCAACCCACCCGCGCCTGTAACATGGCTTCATCCCAGAGGTCGCAATCGGGTACCCGATACCCGTACCCTACGGATGCCTCAGCCGTAGCAACGGAGGTCTAAGCCGTAGCAACGGATGTCTAAGCCGTAGCAACGGATGTCTCAGCCGTAGCAACGGATGCATCAGCCGTAGCAACAGATGCCTCAGCCGTAGCAACGGATGTCTAAGCCGTAGCAACGGATGTCTCAGCCGTAGCAACGGATGTCTAAGCCGTAGCAACGGATGTCTCAGCCGTAGCAACGGATGCATCAGCCGTAGCAACAGATGCCTCAGCCGTAGCAACGGATGTCTAAGCCGTAGCAACGGAGGTCTCAGCCGTAGCAACGGATGTCTAAGCCGTAGCAACGGATGTCTCAGCCGTAGCAACGGATGCATCAGCCGTAGCAACAGATGCCTCAGCCGTAGCAACGGATGTCTAAGCCGTAGCAACGGATGTCTCAGCCGTAGCAACGGATGCATCAGCCGTAGCAACAGATGCCTCAGCCGTAGCAACGGATGTCTCAGCCGTAGCAACGGATGCATCAGCCGTAGCAACAGATGCCTCAGCCGTAGCAACGGATGTCTAAGCCGTAGCAACGGATGTCTCAGCCGTAGCAACGGATACCTCAGCCGTAGCAACGGATGTCTCAGCCGTAGCAACGGATGTCTCAGCCGTGGCAACGGATGCCTCAGCCGTAGCAACGGATGCCTCAGCCGTAGCAACGGATGTCTCAGTCGTGGCAACGGATGTCTCAGCGGTAGCAACGGATGTCTAAGCCGTAGCAACGGATGTCTCAGCCGTGGCAACGGATGCCTCAGCCGTGGCAACGGATGTCTAAGCCGTAGCAACGGATGTCTCAGCCGTAGCAACGGATGCCTCAGCCGTAGCAACGGAGGTCTAAGCCGTAGCAACGGATG